GCTAAATGTGTTATATGTTGCACTAGCTAATGACAAGAACCCTCATATGTTGAGTATAGTTCCTCAATAATGCTTTATGATAACTTATTGTGTGCACCAAACAGCCTCACTATCATACCTTATGTATTAGTCCCATTCAGTCCTTGCTGCTATTTATAGTAAGTGGTTAAATTTATCTAAAAGGCATATCTATGGAATTTAGAGACTGCCATAGTGTTGTTCCTACATCCCAATTCACAATTTAGTTCTATTCCATATTTAGTAAATTTTCAAATCCCATAAACTAGTTCTTGAGATTGGGGTGAAAGCCTAAAAGCATACATTTTTCTAGGGTGAGGGATGAGGGGTTGTGGGGGGTTTTAAATGTATAGTAAAGATAGTATTTGGAAGCATTGTTGACCATCTAAGATATTAATTTGGCTCCTGCTAGATTGTATTGCCATGATTCTGCATCTAGCTTAGGAATAATCTCAAGTTCCATGTTGCTTTAGTCAGTGGGGTATCCACCTTTTTGTTATAGGCCACCAGTATGCCAGAATTGGGCTAAACACCATCTAATACTATTTTACATGCAAAAGTTGGATATGGGGAGTTAGTGTTCGTAAAAGATATTAAGTGTGTACCAAATCTTCATTTTGTTGCACAAAGGGTTTGGAGTTTGATATAAGCCATAAATATTTTTTTTCTAATTTGCCAACTTACCTTTTCTATTTGACCACCTTTGCCTTGGCATTAATTAAGTTCCCTTGCCAAGGTCCCCACTTATTATACCATCTCCTACTTGGTTCTACTTGGATTTAACTACTCACTGCACAAGCAATGGAGTGTTAGCCATCCATCTATAGATTTGTAAATTTTTCTTTTAATCCCCCTCCTCGGGTTAAATTAGACTTAAGATTTAATTACACTCCTTATAGGCACAACCAGTTAAACACACCAAGCCTCTAGGTTTTTTACATGCCTAGGTACAACAAAACTTAATCACAATACCTTCTAAATCCTAAGACTTGGGTGCATTTCTTGTTTCAAGTGTTGCAACACTAATTTATTGTTGCTTATCTTTACGTCACATATTATAGCCAAAGAGATCACTCTTACTCCCACTTCTACCCTTGCTCCTATTTTTACTTCCGCTTTTACTCCTACTCCCGGTCTTACTACTATTGTTGCTCCCACTCTTACTCTCACTCCTACTCTCTGGTTGTAGCTATGGGTGTTTTGAGAGATAGGGAGAGGAAATTTTGATTCTCAAAATATTCCAAATAGTAAAACTCCATAAAGGCTAAATATCAAAGGTCCTCCCTATTTCTTTTGGCAATTAAGTTTGGAATTACGATTTTGTGAATTTGTATGTGAGGGATGGATCCGTGGTTAGGACTGAAAGATGACCTAAAACTTGGTGAACTCAACATGAATAAGCTAGTTTAGTTTTTTTGAAAGAATGGAGAGTTTGTTTTAGGAAATTGAGAAAAATCTTGAGTTCTAGGGGTTAGATTCATATTCTTAGAGACCCTAGGACCATTAGGGGTTTCAACTTCCATGAATCTAAAGTGTAAGTTTAAAGATTTTTTTCGTTGCATTAATTTTCTACATTACCTCTTTCCACTTGGTTTTCTAGTGATTTCTCATGATTAGTATATTGATTCTGGTTTTTCTTTCTTTGGGTCAATATGACTTGGCATCCTCTTTCCAACAAGCTAAAGAGCACCTTGTTTTGTGGAGGATTCAATTACTAATTCAATGAAATTTTGTCCATCACACTCCTCTATTTTTCATGGCAAATTTTTCAACACTCTAAACTTGCAATTTTGGGACTGATTCAAGAAAATTTTTTTCTGGACATGTAAATCTAAAGACAAGCTTTTCGGAGAGTCCTTTCTTGGTAGCCAATTCACTTTAAGTTATGACATGGAGTAATTTTTCTCTCACAGTGCTTCATAACTCAAATTTGCAAGTTTCTAGCTTAATCTTGAGGGAATTTGAGGTGTCATTCTCATGGAAATCATTACAGCCATGTTATTACCTTTTACCAATGTTAAAAATGAGTGTTTCTTGTACTAGGGAGTGCATTTTCTTTTGTTTTCCTTCTTATTGTCTAGAATTTAATGTTTGAATCAATTTTTTTTTGAGATTTTAGGCATTTTAACTCATGGTTTTGGTTTCATTTTCTTGGTTTGAGTATAAACTTTTAAACAAGTCCATCCACACCCATTTTTGTGTGCAAAGTCAAGAGATTTCCATGCAAATATTTTCCTCTTA